CAGAGACAGAATGGGATTGGCCCCCCTGTGTCCTCAGGGCCAGTCCTAAATCGGGTCGGGTGATGCCGAAGGATCACTTCACTCAGCACTAAGATGCAGCCACCTCTGGGGCTGCATGTGGCAGCTGTTTTGCAGGAGAGACAGCAGCTTACAGAACAGTTTAGTACAGGAAGGACGCCAGAAGCATCAGTAACCGCAGGGGGGGTTGAGGTAGAGTTGTAAGAAGGTCCAGGCCAGCTGGGTTAACAACTCTGCTGTTCAGATGAGTGGGTCTCTAACTGCCATCGAATGGACAATGGTCAAAGAGCAGGTGTCTGTCCGATTTGGATTGTAAACAGCCTGGTGTGTTCAGGAGGGCGCCCGTTCTTGCTCTTCCTTCAGCCAGGGCAAACAAAGCAACATCTTTCCAAGAAGGGGACAAGGGACAGGGGCTAGTTAAAGCAGTTGCATTGGACGTTAGATTTACTGCTCATCTAAAAGCATCCCCTCCAGAATTAATCCCTTTCTTCTCTTTTAGAGCCCCCTCCACTGGATTGTTCTAGCCTCGCTCTGGCTCATGCATTCGCCCTCACACCCCCTGTGTGACAGGGATGCACTGTTATTCCCACTTGACAGATTGGGAAACTGAGTCACGGGCCGTGGTCACACTTGAAGTCTGTGGCAGAGCATGACTAGACTCCCTGTCTCCCGTATTCAGTGGCAGAGGCCTCCCCCCGGCCGTTCCTTCTCCTCTTCCTGGAGCCACTAGCTGCGTCGGACTGTTTTGCTCACCAGGCTGACGTGTCCGCAGGGTGGAAGTTTAATGGGGAGGCTGGCAGGCAGAGAGGGGCAAGAAGGTTTTCGGATTCATTTTCAAACGTCTGGGCTGGCCCCTTTGTGGCGCTGTGGTTGGTAGCATTCCAAGGACATGCTCCAAACTCGTAGCGCTTCTTTGGTCAGGCTGAGGGGAAACGCGGCCTGATCTACCTGCCTGTCTGGGATTCCCAGAGAGGGGAGAATCCTAGGGAAAGCTGGGAGGCAGGAAATGAAAGAGCACCATTCCATGGCCCTGGAATGGGCTGGGTGCCACTTTACGGAGATTTCCTAGCACAGTGCCACACAATCACCTCTCTGCTTTTCCTCGGCTGTCAGTTTCCTCCCCGCACCCCTGATCTGCCGTGGCCTTGGATTGAGTCCTGGGGCTGGATTTTCCCAAAGAGCTCCAGGCCTGGTTTTCAGGAACTCGGTACCCACAGAAATGTTCAGCCCCCAAAGAACTCGGCTCTCTGCAACATCTGGTTCCAACCGGGGGTATTGAATGCGTAGAATCCTAGACTCCCAGGGTGGGAAGAGACGTCAGGAGTCATCCAGTCCAGCCCCCTGCCCAATGCAGGACCAATCCCAACTAAATCAACCCAGCCAGGGCTTTGTCAAGCCGAGACTTTAAAACCTCTAGAGATGGAGGTTCCACCCTGTCCCTAAGGAACCCATCCCAGGGCTTCACTCTCCCTCTCCCCTCAGTTCTCCCCACGTGCACCCTGACGAATGAGCAAATTATCCCATGGATGTCTGCTGCCTTTGCATGCTAGCTGAATCCAAACGGGAGGTTTGGAATAAACCCAGATTCCTCCTTGGCGTCTCTGGAAGGTGGGAGTATAATTAGCTGTTGATGTTTCTTGACTCTTCCCAGCAAACCAAGCCAGCAGCTATTAAAAATTTGACAATTACTGTAATTAATTTCTGAAAAACAAGTAGAACAGTTAATTGGATGAGAATGCGGAGCTGTCAGGGCTATCAGGGCTGGCTCTAAGGTTTTGCTGGATGAGGCCAGGAAAATGAAAACCCCACCGACGTTCAGTAGATGGCAGTGTTATTAAAAATATGCAGAGGTAGGACACAAAATCCATCAGTCGCCGTAACATATTCATTTTTTAAAATTGTATCCTTTGGTATATATGGTTGTGACAATTTTCTTCCACTATTTGATCTGAGGAAGTGGGTCTGGCCCACGAAAGCTCATCCCCTAATAAACCATCTTGTTAGTCTTTAAAGTGCTACATAGTCCTGCATTTTGCTTCAGCTACACCCGACTAACACGGCTACATCTCTATTAATATTTGAATCTGTTCATCTTTCCTTCCCTTCCCTTCTCTTTTCTTCTTCCCCCTTCCCTTGCTCGGTGAGAAGTCGGTAGCAGATGTGATAGTTCTATGGCTGGGGAGATCAGAGATTGCAGACGGACAGTGAGAAGCAGTCTTTGCCCCGAAACGCTTGCCATCCAAGCAGATGTGAAAAAGGGTGGGAGGGCAAATAGGAGCAACGCAAGTGACTAGCGCCATGCCAAATCGACGACACAGTGCAGAATAGAACCCGGGTCTCCAAGGCTAGTGATTATCCAGCAGAGCAAGCTGCCTTCCTAAAGATCTCTGCTTTGAAGTCTCGTTAAATCGGAAGCTGAGCTCTGTGAAGCTGAATAGGTGACGCTTCACTTTCTAGTCCCTCTTTCTGGGCCAGATTTGTTCTGCAACCAGGCAGCACGTAGCAGCTCGGGCTTCTGAGCTGCACTTACCCAACCCCGGATTACGATTTAGTCTCCTGAACTTTGCTGGCCCTGCCGGGGCTGTCTCGGTATTGTGGTGCCAGCTTCTGACACAGTCCTGGTATTGAACCGTGCTGGGCATGGCGAGGTGCTGGCATCAGGGTGTGTCAGTCCAGCATGCTGGCGGCTCTTCCCTTCCCCGCCTTACGCAGGGTTGGGAGTTGTGTTGGGGGGCTGAGACGGGTTAGGGTTGGATCTTTCCAACAGGGGGTCCCATGTACACAGTGTATCGGTCCCCCTGCTGGCCAGGAGGGGAATGGGCTCTGTAATTCTGCTTCCAAACAAGGACCGAACCCCGGCACTTGGCTCGCTGTGAGTTCCCTGCCTGCTGCAATCGCAGCAAGGAACGGGGGTGGCAAGTTGTTTTCCAGGCTCTTATGCACCCGATTCTATTTCCACTGAAATCAGCGAAAGGCCGCCTGCTGAGGTCACTGGGGTCTGCTTTGGGCGCTCTCTGACGGGCAGCGTGTGCTGGGAACGCCTGTGCTCGGTTGCACCAGGTACTTCGGCAGGCCGGGAGACGTGAGAAGGCAAAGCTCTCCCCTTGAGAGCTCCGCTGGACTCAGCGCTCAGCGTTCCCAGAGATCGGAGCCAGGGCATAAGGAGAGTAAAATGTCAGCATCCACCACAAAGGTCTGGGAGAAGATTTTTGGGGACTAATTGAGCTATAACCACTCGAGAGAGAGAGATCTTGGTCATTGTGGATCGTTCTCGGACAGCATCTTTGAGCTATAACCACTCGAGAGAGAGAGAGATCTTGGAGTCATTGCGGATCGTTCTCGGACAGCATCCGCTCAGTGCGCAGCGGCCGTCAGAAAAGCAAACGGAATGTTAGGAGTCATTTAAAAGGGGATAGAAAATAAGACCCAGAATATCCTATTGCCTCTGTTTAAGTCCATGGGACGCCCACATCTTCAGTACTGTGTACAGATGTGGTCACCTCATCCAAAAAAGACCTCTTGACATTGGAAAATGTTCAGAAAAAGGCAGCAAAAATGATTAAGCGTTTGGAACGGCTGCCATATGAAGAGAGATTAAAGAGAGTGGATCTTTTAGCTAAGGAAAGAGGAGGCTAAGGGGGGATATGATAGAGGTCTATGGAATTATGACAGGTGTGGAGAAAGCGAATAAGGAAAAGTTAAGTAGCGCCCCCTCTCCACCTGGTTACCTTCTTTTAAAGCCAATCTCCTTTCAGGTCTGGATGGATAGGTCTGGGTTCTTCTGGATCCTGCCACCCACTCAATTTTATTCTTTCTGATTGATGTACTTGGCGGTGCCTCCACCCCCCTCACTCCTTCCTAGCAGGGTCACCAGGGCAGCTTGGGAGGAAAATTCTAGCCCAGGATAATCCCCACGTATTTGCCAGATAGTTGGAGACTCCCAGAAAATAACACAAACACATACACTATAATAAACACAATTATATTAAACAGGAGACAATTATAACAGAACAGGGTAAAACATTATTTTTAGGGTCACCGGTGCCCTGCAACTGTGAAGTTAGTGTCCCGTTGGTACGCGTACTTTGTTGGGGCCCTTGATGACTGTTGACCACACAATCCTTCTCTGCAGAGGTTTAGCAGTGGGGCTGACTAGGTCCAGTACAGCCCAAAGGACTCACAAATGGGAGAAGGCAGCAAATCCCTCCACAGTTTAATAGGCTGCAGGTAATAAAATCCCCAAACAAATTCCCTGACTTACTA